TACGCATAAATATTTCTGAAACGTGCGGAAACCTCGGTTATCTATTTCTTCTGTCTATTTCTAGTTTCTATGTGCAGAAAACAAGGATTAGTAGTTCAAATTCCATTTATTAATAATTTCTCGAAGAAGACAGGGAGAATCTAAGAGCTACTGAAGTAGGAGAACCACAGTAAGTCAAAGTAACAGTACCGATGGCAGTAGCCATCTTGCATCGTATAAGGCTCAGTTGATATCACGAAGAATACGAAATAGAATTTGTTAGGACAGTGTATTTAATGGCTTAATCACTAGAGGTATACCTGAATTATACTTAACCAGAATACCCTGAACTACCTAGCGGATCAGAGTTCACAAAGATACGCCTTCATTGTAGGTTTTTTAAAGCGTTCCTGTCTCTGTTAGTTTCTGCAGTCACAGCGTCGTGGCGATGACTGCAGGATTCATCCTTAAAGTCCTAAATAAGTCTATAGTTTCTTACATTCAAAACTATGTTTATAAAACGTACAAATCATATCTTTCCTTACTTTTCTGTGTTAATTATATATGTGTGTATCATTCTACTTTGCCACTACACCATCTAATCAGTAATTGAATTGTTGTTCTCACACGAAACAAACCATTACCGATACTGACTAGTTAACGTACCTGAAATTGTGTTTTGGCTCGTTTTACTGTTCATCGATTTCGCGGTGATCGGATATTCATAGATATTCCATTGTGTAAATAATTCTCGTACGTGTTGTGTGATCCACCTGATGTAGGCCTTAATTTATCAGTTCAACTACTACAAGCGCGTGCTATAAGCTTATGGACTTTTCCTTATGTTTCCCATTGGCTTTCTTACTTCTATGCGCATCGCATCTCATTGGTTTTGTCCATTGCACTGCGAATGTTAATGTTTTGTCCTTGTATAGTTTTATTTAATAATAAAGAATAGATTCTTGCATACGATGTGCCTAACGAGCCGATATCTGTTCATCCATTCGAAACTGCTGTTTTCGATGCACGTTTAAATTGACGATAATTAAACAACTGAGTAGATAAAAACCCAAGCGCAATTTTACTGCTGATGAAATATACCACCAGTCTTTTACAAGGAATTTGCCATTTTGTACCGAATCTATCAATTGTTGACTAACATTATAATAACAAATCAGTTTCTAACCTTTTCTGTCAGACAATGGCTATTGCTGTTTTCAAAAAATCAGAGAAAATTTTGGTGCTTCGAAAACTTTTTTTTTTCTACTTGTCGTCATTTACTGTTTGCTTCTGATATACCGTTCGGAGGCGCTCTGCCTGCTCCGTCAAGGTGCTTTAATAGTATTATGTAGCGAATGCCCTTTCGACTCGAACGAAATCCTTAAATATGGACGCTTCAGATGCAAAAAAAGCATTTTCAGCACCTTCTGTACTATATATTTCGTGGAATCGAAGACGCTGCTAACGCTATTTGCCGTATGTACTGTAACGACGCTGTTGCTAAAAGGATTCCTCAAAAGTGGTTTGCCAAGTTTGAAAACGATATATGGATCCTAGAGAATACCCCCTTTTGGTCGCCTGAGTTTGGTGACGGCTATCTGAGGAGATTTTCAAAGGAAGGCGGGAAAGAAACGCTCTAGGGATTGGCCAAAAAAATGGGCTGTGACCACACCGCTCCGGTTAACCATTCCAAGTCCCTTGGGGTTATACAAAAACTTCGAGCTCAAGTACTTGATGAATCCTTTAAACTTAACATATGACTCAAGGCGGCATCTAAATATCCCGCCCAATAACGAATGTGGCGCAGGTACAATTATCAATTTTTACACAGAATTATTACTCGCGATGAGAAATAGTTCACGTTCACGTGAAGCAATGATTGGAGTGGATAGCTTCAGATAAGAAGCCGAAGATCCAATCAGATATATGCCCGAGAAAAGTTATAATTTGTATTTGGGTAGGACTGCAAGAGCCTTATTCATTAAACATTGCTTCCTATGAATTAAACAATTGATCAACGCATTGAGGCAATCAAGCTCCTAAAGGAAAAGGTCCGTCAACAAAAATTAGGCCCATCTGCTTTATGATAACGCAAGACCATGTACGATAAAGACCGTCAAAGTGGCCCTGCAGATTTCGAGTGAGAGGTCATATCTGTACTTTGCGTGTCGCGCCGATGGATTCCCACCTTTTCGTGCACTAGTCAGTTACCTTCGTGGCTTTACCTTCGACATAGATCAAGAATCTGCACGTCGTTGGAAGACATCTCCGAAGCAAAATGGGAGAGAGGGTGTTTATTATTTGATGAAAATATCGGCGAGAATCGTGAACAACGACGGCGGAGACACAACGTAAGTTATTATCAGGTGAATGCAAAATGTGGTGTAAGAACACGGTAAACTTCCTTCTAACCTAATAAACCTAATATTGATAACTACGATTCAGTATATCGATGCCCTGTAGTACCTTCAGTCCCATACGATTTGTAATTCTTAAAGCATAATTGTTTTCTCGATCCTGCCCGGCATAAATTCATTGTTTACCGTCTCACCTATACTTAATTATTAAAAATGACTCAGTTCAATCGGGCGGTTCTTGTTAGCTCCCGTGAACCGTTTTATGAAACTCATATTTACCAGAAGAGTAATATTATTAGATACGAATAGCATCTGTTGCACCAAATAAAACCTGAAATTAAGGTCTCATAGTAGAACGTTTTATTCTCTTGCAGTTGATCTGTTGCTACGGCTTAGATCGATAATGACTTCGGCCAATTCATTAGTATAGAACTATGATCCTAAAATCTCTACCATTGCTATTTGCCATTATCGTGCTTTATAGAAATAAGTGATTTTGCCGATGGTAGCTTCCTTGGATACGCTGACGGTTTAAAGATGCGTTGCTATGATGCGTGAAAAAAGCTTTCGAAAGGTGGTTCATCGAGCTGCTTGTTGGTGCAACAAGAATGAAATACAATCAAGAGTTTGATTTGAAATTATGCACTATCCTACGATTACTAAATAAAGAATATTACTTAACGGACCGCACTTGTGATAAGACCGTTAGGCTCGCAGGTTAAAGCTAAAATGGATTTTAGCCGACCATTCTCTGCCTAACGAAACCTTCGAGTAGGTCGGTCAGCGCGGCCAATTAATATGGCAGCCATAAAACAACCATACGTTTATATGAGCGGACTAAAGACAAGCTTTTTCACCCGATTCCCTACGATCTGAGGCCCGTACCAAGTCATTCCGAACGTAGCCATAGTTAACGACCGAAGTTTAATGGAGGTCAGCTTTTGTCCATTCCCATTGCGTAGGATAAACTTCCACCGAGATTAGAAACCTTTGAATAATCTCAAATCAATTATGTATTCATTGCATTGTATCGTATGCAGTTGCAGAGACAGCTTCCATTACAGTTCAACGGAAACTCGAAGAGCAACGAAAAAAAAAAAACAGCTGCGTAGTTATTCGATGTTTTGGAGCGCGTTTGTGATTATCGTTATGTTTCGACCATATCGTTGGCGATAAAATATCACACGAGCGGGGCTACTATCTATGTTAGGTTGTTTGCAAAGACCTTGTGTATACGCCAGTGTAGCCAATGCTCTTTGCAAGCCCATAAAACCTAAGCGATTTGATCGGTGTCGCTTGCGTCTCAGCTTTCTTAAGAATAAACTAGTAGATCGTCTTCAATTCCCGTTCGATAGGGATATTTTTTGCTCAATATAAAAACCATTATCGAAATGATTGCTGACTTGCTGACGATTCGGAAGATGTACCCACTATGAGTAAATGCAATTGTTTGACCCATATTCACGTTCACTGTAGTATCTGATGAGAAAGACATCATTTCATCATGCTTCTCCCAGAAATGGGAGTGTATCATCAAAAGATTTTGCCTTCCTGCTTTACTTTTCTCTATGTCTGCAGAAAAGCCTTAGGTTTTTCAGTGCGGTACGAACCGGCTTATAGCGGCCGCACATAGTACAAAATTGACGACTAGATAATATGGGCATACCCAGGAACGGGGACATATTGCCGCCGTATAATTTGCATTAGATGAACCATCGAACGTTATTGAAAGGAAGTCCAGTAAGTTCTGGCCTGATCTAGTGTTTTGCTCAACTGCGCCTTTATCAAGAAAATATACGCACATTTGCAAAAGAAATATTTGAAATGAGCCTGTTGGCGGTTAGGGCTCCTAGTTGAAGCTATAGTCATTGTAGACGATGGTTACATGACTTAAGTAGCAAATGCAAATAAATTTTGTCTAAATGCCTGTTTTTGTCATAGGCAAACTTCGGATTTCACTCACAAAATGGATTCGTTTTGAACAAACTCACATACTATACCCCTGTGGGGTATCCTAATTTCTCATAACGTACTATGTATAAGAAATATATGTATCAGAAATGATCGTCTTATGAAGGTCAAATGTGCAGGCTCTTATAAATTTAATGGCATATATGGGCTTAACAATACTTACGTCTTACAAATGTCTAATAATATAGTAAAAAAAAATTACTTATATGTCTTATATGAGCCCTTTTCACATTTTATCGCCTATTCGTACCAAATACACGATTACACAAAAGAGGTAATTCTATTTGCTGATTTCATGTATCTGTTAGCATAATGACATTCGAACTATATCATTCTAAGCATCCGCCACCGTTCAAGCATGCTGCTAACTTACATATGGACTTTTTATTCTTGGCTTTTTGGCTTCATAATATTAGTTAGGTCCCGATTCTATTACAGTAGTATCACATTCTATCCGCGCGCGTTTTGCCTACATTTCGCATATACCTTTAAAGGTTTGGTGTTTTTATCAACCTATTTAGGCGCTGTAGGCAAATTGATTGGTTTAACCTTGTGTTCTAATGCTATTACTCCTGTGGAAACAATTTACCTTACCATTTTATGCTAGATTATCGTTTTCGCTTGCACTATCGAGTTCAAAGGCCAACTTTATTTTTTTTACTGTGCTCTTAAATCTTTGTCATTGTCAGTGCTTTCTTGCTTAAAATTCTCAAAGGGATACTCTGCATAGCCAGTCGCACTCGCAGTTCTTTTATTTGCACTTTCAGATAGTTGCAGTTGGATGTTCGGGGAGATGCTGACGCTTCTTCGGCTCATTCACTACGTTTCTATATCGAAATTACTCTCGCCTATATCTTCGGCTATTTTTTTCCAGCATGCGTCTATGCCGCCTTGCACACCTACCCAATTTTCAACGCGAATTCTTTGACATATTTCTAAAAATTAAGTAGACTTGTTTCGTCCGGTCATCGTTATTTTATCCATCGAACATCGATTTTTCTGTGTGATCTACATTGATGGTAGTAGCATTAAATTTAATCAGCAAATCCGGCCAATAGTCGAATACTTTGCCTAGGAAAACACAGAATTTAACTCGGCGTATCGATGACCAATTTCTGTTCGTAAAAGTCAGCTCCTTGTACTCCATGATCTTTATGACCTTTAATTCGTCTCCCTACGCATAGAAACCTTTTGTTTCTTTTTTCGATTTATTTATTTTTAATAGCTCTCTCTGTGTGTGAGCCGCTACTCGTGACAATTATTTAAACAAAATGAGTACAGTACGAAATCATTCTTTTAACAACCTTCTAATCGCTTGTATTACTACATACTGGTTTGTTCTGTGCGAGAAACTTCCACTTTGCTTAATGATTGCTCTAGTGATGCCATGAGTCTGAAGTGTAAAACTTATGATAGTGTGACCCTCCTCGTCCTCCAATGGCAGGTGGAGCTAAGCTTCTGCAATGTCCTACCCATGCTCCTTGTATGGATAACTATACAAACTGCCGTTTGCATCTAAAAAACGGTGGAGTTTTGCTATTTTATTGGTTCGAATCGCAGTACGTAGTACAGTCTTAGTGGCATGGACGAGTTTTTATTCGCAACTCAAACCAGCTGAACGCAGCTCTTCATTTAATCAGCTGTCCGCCTGATTCGTTTCGCTGTCGATTTTAACGCCAAGGTACGCGGTCCGCCCTAATGCTGCCCGACCTCTTGTTTCCACGAGCTCTTTTTCCTCAACGTTTATTCTAGGCGCTCATTGGAACTGCGCGATACAGTAAGGTTGATATTGATGATAGCGCGACTTGCAAATTTTATCGCGGTCGTTAAGGCCCTTCCGCACTAGCGGGCCATTTAGTTTCGACAACTGGTTAATCAGTTCGGCATTGTCCTGCCGAATCCTAACTGATTAGGCTGCGGGCACTACTACCTATTAGATAGTTCAATCATTTATAAAGGGTTTAGGTAATAGCTGATAAATATTACCGCTATTCTAACTGAGTTGCTTGGTAATTTTTTTATAGTAATGGTATGGGTTAATCTACTGGATTAAAAACGTTATCGGCTAAGTAGTTTCTAGTGCCTGCTGCGCCTTCCTTTGCTGTGTGCAAAAACTGCTTTGAAAGGGGAGTAAGGATGGCTTACATTGCGTTTGTGTAGTCGAACGGCACTCACGCGGTTTACAAGACACATAGGGGTTGTAGTGGTGCTGATAGAAAGCATGATTTTCTGATGTTAGATGGAAGCTTACAGGAAAAGGTGTGTATAGATCTTGTCCCGCCCGTCAGCTGTCTACACACCTGTACGCAAGGCCTGAAGAGGAAAGAAAAGAGCTTTAAAGTTTCCTGAATTTAGTCCAGAGAGACGCGCGGCAAAAGAACATCTTTGAAGGAATGTTGTATAGATGTACGCAAAGCGAGTCCTGGAAATGGGCTCTAAGGACCTGGGAATTGACTGACGAGAAATATGGGGCCTGCGAGAATTCTGTGGCCATCGGGGAGGTCGAGCAAATAAACTGCTTATGCTCATACTGTAGTTTGGGATCCTCCACATGAGTGGGGTTCTGCTACGACTGTTGTAACGGTTGCCACTGCGTGGGAGTAAGTGTGAGCGTGGGACGGAACATGTACGAGATGCGCCGCTAAAAGAAAACATTGGAGACAGGGGGGATGACATTACCTAAAGAGCTGCAAGAGCCGTCGACGGCTCCTCGACAAAGCCTGGCCAGGCCCTTCTTAGCCTTCGAGAATTCGATCTCACTTCGCTCTCCAATACCACCAAGCAGCTAGCGGCCGTTGCCAGCCCGTGGACCCTATTTGCTGCTGGTCTGGGAATTTTTCAGACAGTGACGAACGAGAGCAGACCTTGGTGGTGCAGTCCCTTTAGTGGGGCTGGTGTAGTAGAAATAGTCTCTCTCAGTTATACTTTGGTTTCGCTTTAAGTGGCTTGAAAGAGAAGGAAGAAGGGATAGGCATAAACAACCATACTGCTTGTGAATAAGGACGAGCATAACAATGATCACTAATAGTAGTAGCGCACTGTATGCAAGAGGGTCATTTAATGTAAAGGGTATGGGTTGCCACAGACAGAGGGCAGACAGAACACATAGAGTGAAAGTCTCTGTTGTTCCTATTTCTTCCTAAACACTTCGATTATGCTATTTTGGCCATTATTCTATCCAGTGGAATCCATTTAAACCGCGGACGCTTGCCAGTAGTGGCATTACAATCATGAAGATAAAGAATATGCCATCACGTCTAATAGAAAGGCATCCAAACATTGCCCTGGTACTGGTTACGACTGGAAAGGGCACAGGGCAAAATGAAGTTATGCACTCACAAGGTCGACGTCTGCTTGGTGTATGAACATCAGCAAAAATTGTACTTACCTGAAGTACACCCTGTGATGCTGTGTTAATCTCACAAAGGTGGTCTTTAGGATTATGCCCCTTTCTCCGCGTACATCTACGTCTCACTTCCTGTAAAGGCGCGTTTGAGAGAATTTGAAAGCGCATGGTAATTCTTCTTAGTCTTCCATTCTGTCTTCCAAGTCATTCTGCATTTTTTAAATGTAGATGCCTGTTTTCTCATGATTCTTAGCTTGAAATTATTCTCTAAATCGCCTGCCAGAACTCGTGATACCTATCAAACTACAACTTTCCGGGAAGTTATTCGTCAACATGAATTAGTGACTCGCTATTTTCATCTTCTCGTCCGTACTCGTTGTGACAATTCGCGCAGAAAAATAAAGGTGTGTGTTCACACTGACCACAGAACAATTGGTGTAACCTAATCGGTGTCGATTTGTCAAAAGTTCTTTGCAAGAGTAATCCATTTGTGAACACTTGATTCCGCCTTTAAAATACAATAGACCTTCTTTAGAACTACACTTTCGTTCTCCAAAAAAAGCCTAACATAAAAGTTATTAGGTTTCCAATGCTTCAGTAATAAAAATCACACCGAAATGTTCGTTCTGGATAGCAGGCATGCCGACGTGATACCATAGGCCCAGTTGTGAATTAATCCTGAATCGACAAAAATTGGCCTTTTAAGTAATAGCTCGTTGGCTCAACACTATGTGTGTATCTGTGGTAGCAGTAAATACTCTACATGACGAAAGTACACCATCATACAAAATATATTGCATATATCGAATAACTTTGTTCTTAATTGTTTCGTTATTGGTGTCTTCTCCTTTTCCAGCCATTTTGTTGGTTATAAAAATGAATATTATTGTATTCTAGATTTTTGAGGGTCAGAAATTTGGTGGAATTTAGACGACTGAGTTTTCCGGCCATATTTCCATTTTTTCATTCGTCGAACGGTCGCCACATGTCTGCCTACATTAGAACTAAGACAGACGGACCGCGAATTGCACTTTATGAAGTTTGTATAGTATCTGACTTTATTTCGTTCTTTAATTTTAGTTTATTGGGATGACTTGTCTCAAGGTTATGTCGGCTACGGGAACGCGGGGCTATATGGACCACTGTATTTGGAACACTAGCTTTTTTGGGGCTAGCTCAACTGCGAAAAATTAAAACTTAGTTTATATATACATTTATGCATATACGAATCAAAGTAAGGCATTATACTGTAGTGCTTGTTATTCTAGATAACTGTTATTGTTTTCTAATTGTTCGACGACTGTAATGCTGTTTCCAGCCATTATGAATGATGACTAATAGGTATCTTTCAAACCAGAACCATAAATAATCACGACTGTTGCGTAGCCTTTATGCTCGATGAGCTAGATTACGAAGCATTGTTTTGTCCAGTTAATTTTCAATCATCTCCCTGGGCACTTTTTTTTAGCTAAGTTATTTGACTTATCATTAGCGGTCCCTAAAGCCCCACTTTTAACCCATATGATTTGGGCCAATAACAGAAGCACATCTAATTGATAATTCTTTAAACTAGAAGAGTCGTTGTCGAACCTCTGTCAGGTTAAAAGGATACAAAAGTCTTCGGTAAGTATTCTAGTAAAATTTTGCTCTCGCATAGTAACAGTTGTTCTGTACGGTTGCGTTAAGTAATTTTAATTCATACTGTTTCGCCATCGAGCTCTTTGATTGCCATGAATACGCTCTACGACAAACTCACTTGTTAAAATCTTGGTAGCTCATGTTCGTACCGCTAGCTAGACATTGGGTGCGTAGATCTAGTGTTATTCCATAGAAGCGCAGATATTTCTCGGGAGGCCTCGAGCTTTTCCTTTTTCCAGCCCCGTTTCAGAAGGTCATAAGGTATGAAAAAAAACGCAAATCGAAGATGGCGGACGTGGTTTTCTGCTTTATAAAACAGACAATAACGCCCGTATAATCCAACGGTGCTACCCGTCTTGTCGCTGCCGTTTTCTCCATTGCAATAATAAATCAAAATCACTTGTCAGGTTTTACAGTGGAAATGCAGCTATCACGCCCACGCTGTCCCTAAGGGACTACAATCATCCAATGTATGTTTGTTCGGTAGGAGTAAGAATGACTTCTCGTCACTCATACAGTAGCTGTTTGCCATTAGCACGCTCGTCCGTGTATAGCCAAGTTTGATGTCTTCTGTGCACCGTGAGCCTTTTGTTAGAGATGCCAGGCCGACAGTCTTTAGCGTCCGAGTAAAGGCGTTTTGTATGCGTCTGTAACAGCAACAGCTGCACCCATGGCATCGAGAAAAGTACCGAGACCCAAGAGGTCCATCTGGCTATCACGAGCAATGGATCACAGAACTGAAAGAACACGTAGTTTTTTTTTTCAAGCTTGGAATCACCAAAAAATTTGTCGAGCAAAAAACATAACCTATGGTTGAACTCAGAGGCGACATAACACAGAGGAACCAAAAGCTGATACTTTTCTGTTATATTGTTTCTGTTATCTTCTATCTATATAAAGAAGATGATAGGTAATGTAATTCACTTAAAATATGCAAAAAAGGTTTACTGGCGGATAAGCTATTAAAAAATATTCAAATATCTGATGTTGCAGATAAGAAGAACATATTTTTTAATTTTTAGCCTACATTTGAACTAAATTAGATTCTTTTAGACGTACAGAAAAGATATTATTCTTTGACGTAAATAACAATATACCTGAATGAATTCTAAAGACATTTAAAAAATCAACATGATTATATTTAAATTTTCATATAGTTAAACATCACCTAATTCAAGACAAACTTTTTAGTCGAAATGAAGCCAGGGAGCTATTAAACCTACCGAATGAAGTTCCGTTAGTGAGTTACCGGTGTTAAGGATAATGTGATTAACACTCGCGCACCCTTGAAATGTCGACCGTTCAAGAATACTACTTATCAAAACGCTTCGCCAGAAATATCGATAAAATATCTTGAAACTCTCTAGGTCAGCTCAAATTTAATTGGTTGATTAGAAAACCGACCAAACGAACGGTCGGTCAGCGAACTTCAAGCGTATTAGAATCGTAATCTTCAAGAAACCCTTTCTACCGCTTACTTACTAAGTTACTGGCTGAACATCGAGGTGAGTGATGAGGGAAGAAGCTTTGCTGGAACCACCTCATCAGATGGGACTGCTTGAATACAAGAGCCGAGAACAGGTCTAAATCGATAACGTTTCCCTTGTAAGCTAATTGGCCTTGAAAATGTTCGCTAGCTGAAGTAAGCGAGGACTTCACTGAGGCTGTAATCCAGCCGATCAGCAAATCAGTGCATCATGCCATCGTGGAACTTTGGGCTTCAGCTGATGCACAGAGCAATGCATGTATGCAGACTGTAGGCAAGTTATGAAAGGATGGATTTGCTTACTTCCTTAAGCCCCCCCGCACATACACATTTATGTATAATAGATATGCTACATATATAGGCGCCTTTTATTTGACATCTCTAACGTACGTACTTCTGTAATTGTCTGCAAAATGATGCTTTGAGAGGCCAAGAAAATGTTAAACACGTTTAATTGACAGAATATATTCAGTACCTGATTTGGCTATGAAATCCATGTTCCTGTTTATGCAAGGGTATGGAGATATTCGTATACGGTATGTTCTAATACTCTTATATACGCATAATTCATATCATATGGTATATATACAAATGTAAATGTTAATGATACAGAACGTTTTTTTTCACAGGACGTATGGAAAAGTTATCAGCATGAGGGCTCGTACGTTGTTGACCTTCAAGGGTGGAGACTAACTCACACAGTAAACTTTAACTTGACCGGCCTTACAAACTTGCAGAAAACAAGAAAATGGGAGAAAATGCACGCTCGTAAACGCTCTTCTTATCCTGCCGATATGACGCTTTTCGGTTTCTTTTTCTTTATTTTATATACACACACATACAAACACACGCAGACAGATTGTTTTCAGAACTACTCGGGCCGTCTATGCCATTAGTTGGGCTCTGACCTCTGCAAAAGCTCGCTCAGGCTATTCAAACATACTTCAGAACGTAAAAGTTTATGAACGGATCACTTTTAAGGCAATGCGCACTTTCCGTCTTGTATATTTGCTGATGTCAGCATTCTAAATAAATCTACACATAGTCTATTTTTTTTTCTCGGTAGCAGATTACACTGAGGATCGAAGAGGCAATAAGTGAAAAGCGGCAACGGGCTGAGCATACAACTTGTATAAATCTGTTCGAGTGTTATATTGCTATCTGTGGTTTGGATCTATTTCTGTATTGTGTGAACCATCTGTTGATCAGTTCCTGTTGAATATAAACATATTTTCTTAGAAAAATTTCGCGACGAATTTAGAAGACAACCTTCCCATGTACGCATTGTGATTTTTTCTCCTTCGTGAAAACATCGAGCTTAAACAGGGAAACGTCTTCGTAATCCACCCGTCGTTGCGGCTCAAGTTCTTGAAATAGAGGATAGAATTAAAATCATGCCCTAACTGCTACTAGAATATAGTTTTCTTTAAGCACACTAGTCTGTTTCGGCCTAGGTGGACGTTTAGTCTTCTGTACAATAATTATAAAGCTGATTTGCATCCCGTCGAGCTCCATGTCACCCCGACATACATCTGTCAAAAGTACTTTGGAAATATTGTAGAATAATTCAACGACCAGGAAGAGAAAATCCTTTACCAAGAGTACAATACGGTTCTAGTAGAGACTGCGACCGGTTGTAATAGGGCCTATTTGTGTCATTAAAGAACTTGCATACAATATCAAGTTAAAACACCTTTAAGGGCTGTCCACACGAAAATTAACTGCTTGTGTGCAGTAGGTTTACACATCTGGTTCAACTACGTCAGGGTAACGGAGCATTACTCAACAGGCCACCCTTTTGTCCTTATAATTTGCAATGTGAATATGAAGGCAATATGCAAAAAGATGGCATATAGCCGAGAAAACATGTTCAGAAATTACGTCGCTATGGACGGAATCGGGAATTAAGTTGATGCTGACAGATTACATCTCATATTATCACCTCATCTCCCAGTGAGCTTTTGGAGGACGTTGGCGGCAACATCCATAGATTTCTAATCCTCAATGATTTTTCAAATTACTCATCTATAAAATAATTCACTTACGGTTAAAATCAGCTACATGCTGCTCGTCGCGCTTGATATATATGATTCTAAAAGACATGGTCAACGTATTTGTGATGATTCTGTTGAATCCCACGCACCTAGGACTTCTGAGACGATTAACGACGTCCATATTTTTAGCTTTCATCTCTAACGTATATGATATCCTTAAGCACAACAATGGTCATGTCACCTTATAGCTCAAACGATTATGTCACTTATGACGAGTACGATTTAACACAATTTTGACACACCTTAATGCTTTGGCCAAAGCAAATACTCGCTTTAGGATCCACGTAGCGTATATACAAATGGTTTAAATGGTTTAGACGACGTTAAGGGTCAAACTGTGTATCTTCAAGTCCGTTTTGTTCGCAATGCATAAATCGAGAAAAAGCTTTCCTAATACCTTGTCGACTGCTTTGCAGACAGTCTGCAGGGCGTTCACAAACGAAACAAAGCAAAGTATAGCTGTTTTTCTAGTCCATACACACACACACACACACACACACACACACACACACACATATATATATATATATGTATATATGTGTATAGCTGTATGAGACAACAAAAGTTTCTTCTGTGTCGCTGATGCTGATGATTCTGGTGAGGACAAGCAGCTAAATTTTGAGACAATACAGACATTGGCACTACTACCCTTACTTGGTCGTTATTTCTTGTCCTCTTTCGCCACTAGCGTCGTTGCCCGTTCCAGGTAAATGCATGTCTCAAGGACCGTGCGACTGGCAAAATGGAGCCGCAGTGGGGCTTCAACAGTTGCTGGGCTATTGTAACGGCTTATAGTCAGTCGAACGACGATTGGAACGGTCGGCCGCTTGTCGGACATTGCTGCCATGTTGTCAGTCGTATCCAGACAAAAAGACAGTTGTGACGATGGTGATGAAACGTGGCTGCGCTGTTCAGCCGAAAGCAGTAGACGCACTGAGAGAACAAAACGTTGTAAGGTCTTGTTGAAATATGCACCACTGCAATTTCTGTAGGAATCGGGTTGGTTTTGAAGAGTACTTGGGAATGGGGCTTGTGAAATCTGTTCTTTCGTCCTGGCTGCCCTACTGGACAACGCGAGGACGAGGAATCGTGTCGTCGGCGCTATAGTGTACTGCACCTACCAGATGTACGAGCATGAGGGATTAGAGGTTCGTTGCTCATATCTATACTCGGTCGGATTGACTTGGCTTTGCACAGGATTTGCCTTTGCTCGCACATGCACGATCGTACATTGCTGTCTGCGAAAGTGACAAAGAGGGCCAGGCGCCAAGAGGAGCAGGTACCTACGCAGCTGAAGAGTAGAAGCGGCTGCTGGAGCAGCTGAATTTATCATGCACGCATTGCATGGCAAGAAGTGAGGGTAAAATAAGAACAAGCACGACGACAGATAGAAAGAAGGTCTGATTCGCAATACGAGATATAGCCTGGAGTGTGTGAAGGATTAAATTAGCCTAGTACTTAGTTTATATATAATATTTATGATTAGGCACAGGCTATGAAAGAGATAAAACAGGCAGAGGTGAAAGAAGACGAACTCTAAAAAGTTAGGAATAAAGGCATTATATTTATCTATGAGGTGCATATACAAAACTTTCTACATACCCATGATCTGTTCTAATGGGTACAGAGATACAAAAAATCAACGCTTAAGACTTATTTAGATAACTTTCGAACGTTGGTACCTAAATATAGTTAGCTAGTCACTACTATTCACGAATGGACGAGCATAATCCAGCACAAATTAGGGATAGTATAATACGTATTAGAAAAACCATTTCGAGTTATTAAAGCTGCGTCATGTCTTTCCGGATGCAGATTAAAGTTCAATGCACACAACGCCAGACGTTACCTTATCCGCATACGCCTCACATCGCGTACATGTACAGCGTATAATCGAAGCGATACGAAAGAGACTCTAGTAACCTTGTTTTGGTATTAATTAGTGATCAGAGATGCTCCTACAGCCGACATTTGCTATTAGCTAGAAATATATATTAGCTAGAAAATGATACATAAATAAGAAATTCTTCTTTCGACAACACAAAGGCATTTTAAAGACCGGTTGTGCGCGAAGAAAAGAATGTTGTACGGGGTACTACGGTAACAGCATGATAAAGGCCAAGCCGAAAACAACCTGTGTAATGTAACCGGGTGCGTTTGGCGAAATTGTATTCAATTTCTTCAAAGGGGACGTGTTGCCTTTTAGCTGTTCATGGTACGTTTGGTTGTCTTCTTTGAAATTTCTTCGATATAATATGAAGACAGAAAATTAAGAGAAGAGCGTGGATGTGGCTTCTAAAAGCTTTGCTAGTTACCGTGTAACGTAATCATTACTTGAATTCAGTCTACATCCGCGTTATCGATCTACCTGAGTATGGATGAAAGTCCTCGTATCTCAGCAGGTTCCTCGAATTGCTATGTAGTTCATCATTGTATTGTAATTACTGCTTCAATTGTTTAATTATCGATTGTTAGTAAACATTAAGTTTACACGATGAATTTAATTTTTTACATTCTCAAAAATCAATAGTGACTCGCTAGAATAAGCCAGTTATAATTTGTTAGATAACAAAATGGTATCATTATGTTACACGACTACAGGGTGGGGTTATTATAGTCTAGTCATGTGACGCTCTGTCGTTATTCTAATTCACTGCTATTAAACAGATGAGAACATTCCACTTAGAGCTCTTCTAATCTTTGTTCCTTTTCTTCGTTTCTATTTCTTATAGTGAACATGCTTCTGAGGTTTAGCTGAGGGTAAAAACGGCGAAAATCGCTGAATTGGCGGACACGACAGAGACCAGCGGCAATGCTTGGGTAATACTACTGATGCGTCAAACATATGGCGGCACATGATGAGAAAGGGCACCGTCAGTGAAAGCTTTTTTACCGTCGCTCTCCTTTTTCTCGCCACCTCTGGTTTGCTCTTCTGTTAGAAGATACGACGACCACTGCTATTCCCAGGGTGCGGACACTTCCCGTTATAGCAATGACTAATTTCGCTACTTTTATTGTGCGGCTGTTTCTGCTGTAAGTAAGAAAGTAGTACTAAATTTCGGTACGTTCTCAACTGTGGTCAGCGTCGAAAGAGCGACGGGCATTAACTTCTATGACGTCGGAGCCGGGCAAAAAAGAGAAAGAGCTACCAGCAAAGAATTTTGCCGTCGTCTTTAAGAAGACAGCAACCGCCTAGTCTTCCGACCAACCGACCAACCCTATTTCGGTGATGCACCTCGCTTTCCTTTAGTAGAGCGAGACAAAAGCAACTAGCTTGCCAAGTGTCTTTGACCTATTGCTTGCAAGCCACTTTGTTACTCAGCAAATAACATTTCGGTGGAGGCCCGCGGCTATCCACGGGTCGTCGTTTGAAAACCGGGTATTGGGGGCCATGGTGGTGATGGTAGGAGATGAAGTGGCGGCCGGTAGTAGCCTGTGGCATGCGGTGGTAAAGAGCGGAGAAGAACGAAAGGGGTTTGATGCGGTAGGGGGCGTAGAACCGACCAGAAAGGTGGGAAAAAAGCCACCGAAAGAGACATAGTGTAACCAAACGAATTCTTGTTCGAGCGAAAGCGACTCTGGTGGCAGCACCAGCGGGTGTCGCTGTTACCTCTGGGTCAAATGTACAACATTACGTAAATTACATGCCAGCAAATTAAACAAAAGTGTGGTTTTGTAGAGACTTCAGGATGTTTGAGTTTCTGCTACAGATCGTTTTAGTTTCTTAGTGAAAAAAAGGACGGCGCTCAAAGCAACCGGCGACAAAAGAACTGTGTCGCACCGTGTAATGTTTGTAAAATATTTCTATTTTTATTTATTAATTTATTTACTATCTAGTTCTCCCGTACTTTTCGGTATGTGAATAGATTTTAACAAGGTACACTACACGTTTTAAATATGTGTTCTGTGAGCTCCATTAATTTTACGTTTACATGACACGCCTAATACAGGATATCGATACAAATGCGCGGGTACGAAATGAATGGATGCTGTCGAAAAAGGAAATCCCGACACCAGTGTCGAGATCCCTGCCTCTACGACTATGGCGGGCTTGATACAGATGGTTACAGAATATCAGAATAGATTAAAATATCTAAAGCTAGACAACTCCGTACATTTCATTTCAACATATATACAACAATGGTTGTTATCTTCACCATCTCGTTCTTTAAAGAGCCGTAAAATGGATTTTGCGCTTTGTTTTCAAGTGAAACATTAATAAACCGATGGTCGACCGGCGTGCTATTGCAGCCCCGTCGGCCGCCTGTCGCCAAAGTTATAGGAGACGTACATTGACATGCTGTATGCAGCTTACAATGTGGAAGGGAAATTTTAAGACGAATTTTTTGTGTATATTTTGTTTCGCACTTTTATTTTTATTCTTAAATTTAAAAAAGCAATAAATAGAAAATCAAATACAATTTGCCTACTACTGTTAGTGCTACTACTACTGATAGTAGTAGTAGTAGTAGCAGTAGTGGTGGTAAATTTTGGCAGACGTCAAGGTATCGATTGTAGGAAGTAGGGTCAGTTTCCGTCTTCCCGACCGCCGCGGTTTGCTCAAGCTGTAGTCCTCTGCATCAGTTTCGTGCTACTATTAGACTTTTGTAAATGCTGCGAAACTACTCGCACGCGTTGTCGTCGAATGGAACAACAGTTAAAAGATAGTCGAGTCATAATGAGACTGTGAAAGATAAAGCATTATTAATGTCACTATTTATATATAGTTATGTAATATTAACTTCTAGGTGCTTTTATAACCATAATGATAATGCTTTTTTGATGGCCGGCTTAGCTACCATTTGTGGTACTAGAAGAAACTTGAAAAGTGATGATTTTTTAAATAAAAAGGTTGCCTTCGGTCGACGCGCTGTAGGCACGAGGAATTGACGAGGAGGAGAGATTAAAGCAGCTCACTTGTAGCGATACCAACTAGTTAAAGTGTATAGAAAAAACTGGGGCTATATGGGCCGTTGCGCTTTTTTCTAGTATGGGAATATTGATTATAACCGCAAGTTTAGTTTTCAAAATTTTAGACACATACGCGTCAGCAATATAGTGCAACTCACAATTATTGTATAGTTTTCTTTGACCGAATTTCGAAAAGTAAAACTCAGCTAGGTATTTCATCGAACTTTTATTTAAGAATAAAGAAGCAAAATAATCGCCCGGTTTTTTCTAGTTTTCTAGTTAAATATGGCATGTTGTTAGTAACCCTCCTCTTTTATCGAGCAAAATGCTACCTTTGGACCTGCCAGGACCCGGGCCATTTAACAAGCACAACAGGGCTTTATGTGGAATCATGGTAAACCTATTGAACATTCGACCTGTCCAACTTGACCATAGAAAATTATAACACATCGATTTCTCTAACCGTAATCAAAGACCTATCTAAGTAAAAAGACATTTTCCCATGACTGGCCTCTTCACATGTAATCATTAACGGCCCACATAATCCCACCACAACAATGTGAGTTTCCCCATCTGATATGTTCTTGAGAACAAAAATATAATGAGCTTATTGTAGCCAAATAATAGAAAAAAAAAAACGATATATAT